ACTAAATAGTTAATTAGTATTAGATTTTGTTAAAGAAAAATAGAGAAAAATATAAAAAAAAATTTAATTTTAATTTTAATTTTTTAAAAGTTGGATCGACCCGACCTAATTTGAGACCTATGTGGATGGATCATGGGTCAACTTCCTTAACCCGTCACTAGAAATGACCCAATCCAAACAACCTGGGATCTGAAATTACCCAAGCCGAGTCCATCCAATCCGACCTATTTGCCAGGTCTAAATGATGATGATGAGAAGGTGAGGGGCAAAAGACAAGGGGTTCAAAATGGTGGTGCCAATGTGGAGGCAAGAGACAGCAATGACATGGGAAAACTAGGTGGTTTTCATGGGAAGGTGAAGGATTGGGTACTCTGGTGTTCTTGGGATCAAGAGATGAGTGAATGAGCTATAGCTTGGAAGATTTGCTAAATGCATAGACAGAGACACTAGGGAAGGGTACAATGGGGAGTTGAGATGGGATTTGGAGATGAAGAGGTCCGAGGAGAGAGAAGGGCGTGTAAGGGAGAAAAGGAGAAAGTCATTCAAAAAAGGACAAAAATGCCATGGGAGAAGGGAGAAAGGAGAAAGAGAAAGAAAGGAAGGAAGAGGAAGGAAGAGCACCATCGCCGTTGAAAAAGGAAAGTAGATAGCGAATGAGAATATTTTTAATAATTTTTAAAGTTTAAGAATAAATTTAATTTAAAAATAAAAGCTGAGTGTCACAAGTCAACGACTTAAATAATTTAATAGTCATCTCCTTCTGTTGGGCAAGAAGTAAAAGGTTTTGAGTTCGAATCGCATGGTATACGGGTGAAATGAGATAAAGGATGAGAAATAGTTATCTCTTATAGTGTAATCAAGATAAAAAAAAAAAAGAAAAAGAAAAAGTTGAGAGTCACAATAAAGTACTTGACCCTTCAAGTTTGGAGCGCAAGCTCGTACTTTTAAAGAGCTTCCATGGCTTAAAACATAGAATGATAAGAATATTAAATCTTAGAAATCCCATTTGGTTAACTAAAATGTAATAGGAACTGATCGATAAACATGCACTTTTAATTGATAATATTCATATAATATTAAATAAATAAATATACATAATTAAAAATTTTTATTAATATCAACAATATAAATAATTTAATAATAATTCTTTTAAATAGAAATACACTTTAAATTCAAGTTATATACATGCAACTGAAGTAAATATTAAGAAATAAAAAATTTTATCTTCCCCTTCAACTCAAAAATAAGAAGATAAAAAAAAAAAAAAAGAAAAAGAAAATGCTAGATGCACACTCCTCCATTACTTTCCGTTCCGTTAACACCCAAACGCATCAAATCCATCCAATTGGCAATTTCACATTCTTTGATTTTCAACCTTACTTCTTTGTCCTCCTCTTTTCTTTTTCTTCTTCTTTCCCTCTCCTCCTCTCTTCTTCCTTCTCTTCCCCCCTTGATTTATTTGAAGGAGAACCCAAATCTGGATTCTCCAAGAGAACCTGATCTAGGTTCTCCACAGGAATCTAGATTGGGTTGTCCAAGAGAACTCAGATCTGGGTTCCCCATGAGAACCCATGGGCTCTCTTGGAGGAGGATGACGGAGGAGAGAGAAAAAAAAGAGGAAGGAAAGAGAAAGAAGATAATGAATTTTTATAA